AAACTCTCAATGGAATGATCTTACGTGGTAAGAGAAGATCCAAAACTTTAGTAGAGTTGCTTGAAGAAGGAACAATGCTTAACACTATGAAATGTAAAAATGAAGAGTTTTGGTTGGTTTTTCCGGATCCAAGGTAAAAACAACAAATTCAGAAAAAAAAAAAAAAAAAAACCTCCGCTTCTCCCTCCATTAGTTGTGCGTACCTCACGCCGAGCGGTCCGACTAGGTGCGTGCGGACCTCCGTGACCAGACCCCCCTTCCGCACGCATGCCTCCACGACTGGACCCGTGCGCGCGCCTTTGCGGCTGGACTCCCGCGCACAGACCCCCTCTACGACCAGACCCCCTTCCCGCGCACGCGTCTCTGCCGCCCACGCTCCTCCGGTTGGCCATTGTGAGAGCGGCGGTGAAGGGTGAGAGTGAAAAACTTTGAGAGAGAAGAGAAAAAGACGTGAGAAAGGGAAAGTGAAACTTCAATGAAAGAAACAGCGGAAAAAAAAAACAAAAAAATATGTTGGAAACTAGCCGTTGCAAGATGTTGGAGAGACGTTGAAGAGACGTTGGTGCTTTATTTATAAATTGATGTTTACCCTTCAGTTCATTTGTATTTCATTGTTCACGTTTACTATTCATTTCAAAAATTTTACTACTCACGTTACTGTTCACATCAAAAATAAAATTGTTATTTTATTTTTATTTATCTAAAAATTTTTTTTGTATTCTAGCACATGGATCCCAATCAATATAATTTTCTAAGTTATTTTAATTATTTACAAAACCAACTACCACCACCACACTCAACCAATGATAATTCTCCGAATCTTCATTTTTTTTATGTATCCACCACCAATACCAACCAATCCCAATATATTTTATAGACCTTTAATATTTTCCGAAAAAGTTGTGGAGTCTCAAGTTCAGAAAACAAATTCACCAATTGGTTCAATATTCGAGTCTCAAGTTGGGCTAGAGAACATCACACTTGATGTACGAGGACAACAAGGAGAAGAAATATGTACTGAAAAAACCACGTGTAAGCTTTTCTGTCGAAGAGGATAATCTATTTATTCAATCATGGCTCAACATTTCAAAGGATCCAATTGTTGGAGTTGATCAAACTGGAAATAATTTCTGGATAAGAACTAAGGAGAATTACAACAACAATTATAATCAATTTCCAGTAAGGAATCCAGGTCAGTTAAAAAGTTGTTAGTTTCGAATCAATAAAGCAGTTCAATTATTTGTCAGATGTTATAAACAAGCTCGTGATAAAAAAAAGTGGCAACTTAGAAAAAGACATCATGGCAAATGCATATAAAATTTACTCACAAGATGTAGGTGATAAATTCAATTTTGAGCATGCATGACTATTATTAAGAGATGAGCCAAAATAGAAATCTGAATCAATGGAGAGCTCTTCTAAAAGATCAAAGATCTCTAAATCTGGGCAATACTCAACGTCTTCTAACACAGATGCAGCCAATTATTGTGAAGAATATGACCGAATAACACTAATATCTCATCCAATAGGTCAAAAAGCAGCAAAGAGAAATAGTAAAGGAAAGGTTGGCGAAACATCTTTCGACAAAAAGAAGTTGGATAATATGACAAAAACAATGCTAGAAAGAAGTGTTGTCGTAAAGAAATTGGTTGAAGCGAAGGAGACAGCTAACTTTAATGCAATGTATGACATTCTCATGAAGGACACATCTGAAATGACTGAGAAGCAACTCAAAGATCATGAATTAACTTGTAATTTTGTTAAGCACAAATTAGGAGAATAAATATTATTGTAATTTTAATTTACGCAAATTAGACTACTTTTATTGTAATTGAATTTAATTTGTTGTAACTTTATTTTCACTTATGCTTATGAAATCTGCTGTTATTGTAATTTTAATTTACGCAAATTAGACTAGTTTTATATTTAATTTTGTTGTAATTTTTGGTAATTCTTTTTATTATTGTAATTTCTTTTTATTTGTTATTCATATTTATATATTATCCATAATAATTAATTTTATAAAAAAATTATCATAAGGTGTATTGTGAGGTGTCAAAAAGTTTAGTATGAGTTGTAAAAAAGTAAGGGTGCTTATAAACAATTTTCATTAAAGCAAAAATTGTAAAAATATAATAAGTTATTTATGAGTGATTTGGCACAGTGAGACTCATTTAAAGTAGTTAGGAGTTGCTTATAAGATGTTCTAAGTTTTATCGATACAAATATTTTAATAAAATGTATGTCCACGTGCCTAATTGGAGACTGCCGGTCAACATGCACGCCTTCCCTATTGAGAGCTAGCCCAATACGAATCATGGATTATAATATCTAAGTCCAAATTTGTGTGGAACTTTTGGACTGACTTATTTTTTGCAATATTTTTTATTTTTCTCCAAAATTCAAAATTGAAGACAATTTCTTTTATTAATGTGTTTTTATTGTGAGAATATTTATATATTATATAATACAATTTCATCTACTATTTTATAAAATCATGTAACCAATTAAGTATGTGTAAAATATTTTAAATTATTTCATTTCGAAATTTGAAAGCTAATACTAAAAGTAGATTAGAATATCATAATCCACAATAAAATACTTACTACATGAGAAGTTACTTTGCAAGATTAACAAATTTACAATGATTTTTTTCTTTTCAATAAGATATTAAAACTGCCTCATAATAGAACATTTGATTGTCTTAAATAAATATCAAACTTAGATTTCTTGATATTAATAGTTATTGTGCTCTCAAAATTTTAAAATTCCTATAAAATAAATAACCAAGTTAATTAATTGATACACGTACACACACACATATATATATATATATATATATATATACACAAACAACAACTTTTACAGAATTCCTAAGAACAAGATTCAGAACCAATTAAGGGCGCATGAAATGAATAATAATAATAATAATAATAACAATGAAATAAATTATACAAAAATCATAAAAAAAAATCAACTTATACTTCATACAAGTTAAATGATATTAGTGTATTTCCTTTACCTCTTTCATGCAAATATGAATCTTGTGTTCCTTATAAGTGACTCACATTAAATGAACATTATTATTAACATGTTTCTCACTCTTAAACTATTGATCTTTGTCTTTTACTTTTCAACAATTAGTAAAATATAAAATATTAAATATAAAAAAGAAGTGGGCAACTTGTGGGCCAACTACGCTAGCCCGATCCAAACTACCAAGGTCAACGAGTATAGTATGAGTAAGATCTTAAGTTTAAATTTTGTTATCAATATTGTAATTCTTTTAGATAAAAATGAAATGATAGTAAGTTAATTATTAAAATTTATCACCTACAAATTTCTTAATTGACTTTCATATAATGAACATTTACATGCTACACTCCTTTTTATTATAATTAAAATTTATGATTTATTAATATAATTTTTTTTATATCACTATTTTTTTACATACACATATATATAGAAGGAGTTATAATTATACCGGTGTAACTTTTACTAAGTATTACACCGCTCAATAACTTTATACTAAATGTGAATTTTGTAAATCCAACTGTTAGATTGAAAGTTCATATCTTTTAGATCATATATACAAAATTTTATATTAATCTAAGATGATTTGATACGTTATTTTTATAAAACAAAATTGACGTAATATATTTATTTCAAAATATACTAAAATATGAACACTTTGATTCATAGTTTTAAAAACCGGACCGGTCATCGAACCGGTTAAGGTACTGGGTCAGTGGGTCAAAGGTTGAACCGGTGGGTCACTGGTTGAACCGCATGACTCGATTTTTATTTATTTATTAAAAAATATTCATATTAAATATATTTTATACTTATAAATTTTAATAAATTCATATCTTATTTTAAATTTTAATTTTTCTATATTATTTAAAATTATTTTTATTTTTATTTTGTAAAAAAATACATAAAAAAATTACATGTTAAACAGTATATTAATACAAATTAAAAATATAAACAATATGTACATATATAATATGCTTGCAATTAATATCACAAAATAATATATGTAATATTTACATAGATATTGCATTATTAAATATATAATTTAAAATTAATAATATACTATAAAAGTTATTTAAGTTGTATATATTGCAAACAAATATATTAGAACAAGTAGTCATTGTTATATTTAATAAGACTCCTTGCTTTTTCATTAAGAGATTCAATTTTCATTATTATTTTTGTGATTTATGGTCCCTTAAAAAAATTTTAAAAAAAATATTAAAAAAAAGTGGTTGAACCGGTTTGACCCACCGGTTCACCGGTTGAACCGGAAAATTGACCGGTTCAATCCGGTTTGAAACGGGTCGACTGCATAACCGATCCACCTTCAAATTCGGACCGGCTGGACCACCGGTTCCCGGTCCAACCGGTCCGACCGGCCGGATCGGTCCGGGTTTTAAAACACTGCTTTGATTACCTTCAAGATATTATTTAATTTTAACAAAATTTGATATACAAGATAAAGTGATATGAACTTTTAATCTAATAGTTGGATTTATAAAATTCACATTTAATATAAAATTATTAAGCGATATAATACTTAATAAAAGTTATATCAGTGTCGTTTTGAAGCATCCTCTCTCTCTGTCTCTATATATATATATATATATATATAAGTGCACGTATGTAATGTCACTCACATATACTTATCAAAACTTTCTATTTAATTTTGAATGACATATATATTAACATAGACCAACATTAATTAATTTTAAAAATTAAGATACTAAATTTGTAATAAAAAAATGATGATCAAAATTACATATTCTAAAAATTAGTTATAAGAGAAGAAAAAAAAAGCATTCAAACCAAATATTTATTATATTTTATATTTTCAATGCAATGAACATTACTTTTTTAATAGAAAATCTATTTTTAACTGTTCAAGATCAATCAAACTGATGTGATATTATATAAATTAGGCTTTGTGAGAAAGTCCATGGAAAACCCACGTAGAAAATTCTATGTCTCATTGAAGAATTTTCCAAGGGAGTAGGTGCTCAGAATATGACACTCTCATTCCGAATATTCATGAATGGATTCCATTCCATAATTTCATGACTACATTCATCTCTTCTGAGTTGTATTTGCCGACACAGGCGCAGTTGACTTGACTATATTTCGGAATAACCTAAGCCTTTCAAATTCCTCACTCCACAATCCCATTACTTTCATCCTTCCCAACACACACAATCGTTCTTCCACTGCCTCTGCAACTTGAACTTCATGGATACCTTATTCTCTTGCATATCCTGTCGGGCCCTGTTGGGTCGTAAATCATCCTCCCATTCAAGCCCGTTGGGCCCAGAAAACTCGGCATCCACTTCCTCCAATCACTCCAACACCATCCAAAGCCACAGATTCGACGTGTTCATCAGTTTCAGAGGTGCTGACACGCGCAACACTTTCGTTGACCATCTCTACGCTCATCTTATCCGAAAGGGTATTTTCGTCTTTAAGGATGACAAGAAGCTCCAGAAAGGGAAATCCATTTCATCGCAGCTTGTACAAGCGATCCAAGGCTCCAGGGTTTCTATCATCGTCTTTTCGGAAGATTACGCTGCCTCGACGTGGTGCTTGGATGAAATGGCCACCATTGCTGAATGCCGACAACATTTGAACCAAGTTGTTTTCCCTGTCTTCTATGGCGTGGATCCGTCTCATGTAAGATACCAGAATGGGGTGTACGCGAATGCCTTTGCTTTGCACAAAAGGAAATTCAAACAAGATCCAGACAAGGTTCATCGGTGGGGGAGAGCAATGACGGGTTTGGCCAGTTCAGCTGGTTGGGATGTCAGGAACAAGTATGTATTGACTATTAAAGTTTGGCACAATACTTTGTATCTAGTTATCCATGTAGTCTTGGTTTGTTTATGGGAGTAGAATTTGAGTTTCATTTTAATAATATAATATTTTTATGAGAAAAAATTTATATATTAACAGTAAAATAATTTTATACAGTTATTTAATGATAAATTATTATAAATGATAATTTTGTTAATTTTTATAATAATTACATATATCAAAAGTCATATAAATAATAATTTATGATTAGTTGATTATATAAATTTTTTTATACCGATAGTATATGACTATTAAATCTATTTTTTAAATTTATTTTTTATTATGCAATAATATGGTGCAATTTTAATTTGATTTTGATTGGATAACAATGTCAATATATATTTGTGTTTAAAGTTTATTTATTTGTCGTCTACATTCGGTTTTGCATTTGTGATGTTGATCAATTGAGTTATTTTGCATGCAAAATAATTTACTTTGGTGGGTGGAAAGCAAAATTAATATTCATTTTTATATCAACAAAAGCATGAAGAGATGGAAAACGTGTTAACCTATTATAGATTTTTGCTTCTTTAATTTTTCATTGATTTTTTAGTTGAATTTTTCTTTAATTTTCTTTTTTTGCCAGGTCAGAATTTAAACAAATTGAAGAGATTGTACAAGCAGTAATAAAAACATTGGGTCATAAATTTTCAGGATTTGCTGATGATCTTATTGGAATACAACCACGTGTGCAAGTGTTAGAAAATATTTTAAAATTAAACTTAGAAAATGATGATTTTCGAGTTTTAGGAATTTGGGGAATGGGTGGAATTGGAAAGACAACTCTTGTAGCTGCCTTGTATGATAGAATATCATACAAGTTTGATGCTTATTGTTTCATTGAGGATGTAAAGAAAATTTATAAAGATGGAGGCACTATTGCTATACAAAAAAATATTCTTCGTCAAACAATAGACGAGAAAAATCTTGAAATATGTAGTTCTTTAGAAATATCAGGAATTGTAAAGAATAGGCTACACAACATGAAGGTCTTAATGGTTCTTGACAATGTAGACCAAATAGAGCAATTAGATAATTTGGCCATAAATCCTAAATTGCTTTTCAAAGGAAGTAGAATGATTATTACCACTAGGGATGAGCATATTCTAAAAGTGTATGGAGCATATGTGCACAAGGTTTCATTATTGAATGAAAATGATGCTCGTGAATTGTTTTGTAGAAAAGCCTTCAAAACTGAAGACCAGAGTAGTAGTTGTGTGGAGTTGATTCCTGAGGTACTAAAATATGTCCAATGCCTTCCTTTAGCAATTAAAGTAATGGGTTCTTTCTTGTGTACTCGTGATGCAACTCAATGGAGAGATGCCTTGAATAGATTAAAGAATAGTCCGGATGATAAAATTATGAATGTCCTTCAAGTAAGTGTTGATGGACTACAATATCATGAAAAAGAAATTTTCTTACATATTGCTTGTTTCTTTAAAGGGGAGAGGGAGGATTATGTTAAGCGAATTCTAGATTGTTGTGGATTACACCCTCACATTGGGATTCTAGGAATCATTGAGAAATCACTCATAACTATTAGAGATCAAGAAGTTCACATGCATGAAACGTTACAAGAATTGGGAAAGAAAATTGTTCGTGATCAATTTCCTGAAGAGCCAGGATCTTGGAGTAGAATATGGCTTTATGAAGACTTCTTTCGCGTCTTGATGAATAAAACGGTAACAAGTTAGTTATATCTTCAAAATAAATATACTTGCTTTTTGAGTAATTAAAAATATATTTAAGTATGAGAGACGAAGAAACATTAAAAGAATTGACTATTTCATTTACAATAAATATTAATTTTTTTAACATTTATATAATCATTTTCATTATTTTTTTATAGTTAATAATTTTACCAATTTTGTACAAAGATACAAAATATTATGTTATCTAAACAAATCATATTATCTTAACATTACTTCAATAATTCTTTTGTCACAATTATTTCAAAAATATTTAAATTCCTTCATTTTTTTCAATAGATAAATAAAATTTGCATTGTAATTATTAAATAAAATTTAATGTAATAAAAGTCTTATATTTCTATGGAAAAGAGTCCTTTCAGTAATTGATTCTTTTTTACAAGTGTTTGTTCTTTATTTCTCAGGGAACAGACAATGTTAAAGCCATAGTTCTAAATCAAAAAGAAGATATCTTCAAATGTAGCGTGGATGGATTGTCAAAAATGAAGAACCTTACATTACTTATATTAAATCATACTAATTTTTCAGGAAGCCTTGATTTTCTGTCTAACAAGCTGCGATATCTTCTGTGGCATGGTTATCCATTTGCTTCTTTGCCGTCATTTTTTACCGGCTTTGGTCTTGTGGAGTTAAATATACCTAATAGTAGCATCAAATATGTATGGGAAGACTTCAAGGTACTTTAAATGGTGTTTTCCCCCCACATATTTTTACTGGATCAAATAATCATGGAAAGAACAATTATCTCAACAATTTTTCAAAAGAAATGATGAGACTGCATTTGGATCACTTTTCTTTTTTAATTTTACATAGGCCTCATAATTTAAAAAAATTCAAAAATTGAATATATTTTACTTAAATATATTAATGTTTTTTTAAAAGTTTTTGAAGAATCTTATTGAAGAAAAATTAAATGAGTAGTATTTTTTTTTCTTTAATTAATTTTTTTGTTACAATTTTTTCTTTAATTCAATACAAACTGTGCTCTCCATTTTGAAGGAAGCAGTACATATTATACAAAATTCATCTATTTTTATTAAATTTAATTTTTTTCAGGTTCATGTGAGGCTTTCAAAAGTTTTCTCTTTCTTTATTGTGCACAACGTTTTCTCTATTTTCTTTAGCAAATCTTCAATGATGAAAGCATGCCAAATTAAAGTGAGATAATGGAATTTTAAGTTTTTTTTTAAAAAAAAAAAAAAGACATTAATTGTCTGTTGTTAATTTTCTTTTCACAGAATTTCCCCTACTTGAAAAGGATGGATTTGAGCAACTCCAAATATCTTTTAGAGACCCCAAATTTTTCTGGGATCCCAAAACTTGAGCGACTTGATCTTTCAGGATGCACAAGTTTAAGACTAGTCCATCCATCAATTGGACTTCTTGAAAAACTTGCTTTCTTGAATTTACAAAATTGTAGCAATCTGATCAGCATCAACTTTGGCGATGAATCTAATCTGTGTTCTCTGAGAGTTCTACATCTCTCTGGTTGCATTAAACTTGAAAACACCCCAGATTTTACAAGTGCAACAAATCTGGAGTACCTTGACATTGATGGATGTACCAGTTTATCCTTGGTTGATGAATCTATTGGAGCCCTTACAAAGCTTACATTCTTGAGTTTGAGAGACTGCAAAAAACTTGTTAGTATACCTAACAACATTAATACAATGACATCTCTTCAAACTCTAGATTTATGTGGATGTTTGAAACTTACATATATGCCCCTAGGAGAAGTTTTCAATTCTTCATCCCATTTAGAATCTTTGATTTTTCTGGACATAGGCTTTTGCAATCTTCTTGAAGTTCCTGATGCTATTGGAGAATTAAGTTGTTTAGAAAGACTGAATTTACAAGGAAATAATTTCGTTGCACTACCTTATTCCATCAAGGGGCTACAATGTCTAGCATATTTAAACTTGTCTCATTGCCATCAACTTACAGCTTTGCCTGACCTTCCATCAAGAAGTGCTTCATTAGTGGGAAGATATTTTAAAATGGTATCTGGATCTCATGATCATAGATCAGGTTTATATGTTTTTGATTGTCCCAAGGTGGCTGATATGTTGTCTGCTCATTGGAATTGGATGTCCCCGTGCAAAGACTTGGAACTTGTATGGCTAATGAGGCTGATTGAGGTTTGCACCCTCCTAATAGATTCCTTTTCTAAATCTCTGGATGAAATGTTTGCCCACTCTATCATTAGTGTCTTTAGATAGATAGTGAGAATTATTTTTGTTAATAATATATTATTGTTATAATTAATTAGAATAAAATTTAATCTTGTGATTTTCCTTGTGGTGGTGATAGGAACCCTATCATTTTCGGTGTGGCTTTGACATTGTTGTTCCTTGGGGTTGGAAAAATGTTCCACTGTGGTTCAATCAAGGATTTAAAGGGGATTCAGTTATAAGGATAAAGCACTTTAAAATGGACGACAATTGGATTGGCTTTGCCTTTTGTGTTGTATTTGAGGCAAACAATCGTCCTGTGGTTTCTACTTCTCCACATAGTTCATCGTCTTCCCCACCACACCATCCGTTTTATCTTTCTTTTGAAGGTGAACACACAGAAGAATACTTTGATATGTCACTTGATTTGGAGTTGGACAAGATTGATGGATCAAAACATATTTGGATCATTTATATCTCTAGGCAACACTGTCATTTTGTGAAAAATGAGGCACATATCACATTTAAAGCCCACCCAGGTGTTAAGATCATTAAATGGGGGATGAGCAGCATATTCAAGCAAGATATAGATTACTTAAAAAGGAAGCAACTAGGACAGCCTCTTTCACCCCATCCAAATTGGGATAATGATGTACATTATATTAACTTTGATATTGTAGAGAATAACAACAACACTATGCCTAAAATCCATCTTCCTTACAATTGGTTGATCACAGAGGAGGATGAAGTTGAGAATATTGAAGCAAAGGAGAAAGAAAATAACCTCGCTAATGTGGGGCTTTAAACACACTGTATGAAGGCTCACAATCTCACAAACAACCTTTACGGCAGGCTTAAGGTAAACGATATTTTCTAATGCAAATTTTCATAATTAACTAGTACTTTAGTAACATGTGTAGCATATAGTTAAATGTTTATTTTTTACATAATTAAAATTTATGATAACTAATTTTTTAAAAATATAAATTATATTTATAATTAAAATTTATAGTAAATATCTTTAAATATATAAATTATACTTAGATTTTGTAATAGATAACTTAAATTATGACATAAAATTATTTTTATAAAATAAAATATTATACTTTTATTGAAATTCAATTTAGAATTAACGAGATAGAGATATAATAGATAGCTAATTGAAATGGATAGGTGATTGGAAGAGACAAATACTCAAATAAAAATTATATATAAAAAATAGTTTATAATATTTGAGATATAAATTTTTGATAGTTACAATGTGTTGAATACAGCTCAAAGAGAGAGAAGAGTCAAATGCACATTAAAAAATGTGGAGAACCGAAAGAATAAAGAGCCCTCAATCTCCAATCTAGATTATGTATGGTAAGTTATAATATAAAAGTATTTAATAGAAGAAGAGTTCATTTATTTTAAAAGTAAATCTTGATTTTTTTTAAATTTTAATTATTTAATCAATAAATTAAAATTTTCTAATATATAAATCAAGTATGTAAATTTTTAAAAATTTTAAAAATTATTTGATACTTTGTTTTATTAATTCAAATTTACAAATAATTATGAAAATATTTTATACGTTGATTTGAATCTATATAACGAAATATTATATAATTTTTAATTTTTTTAAAAAATTTGTAAACTTAATATATACATTAAAAACTTTTAATTAAATGATTGAATTGCTGAAATTTAATATAAAATATGAATTATTGAGTAATGTAAATTTAAAAAGTAAGTGAATTCCTCTTTTTAATCAATTAAACATTTTTAATAATTAATATTTATTAAATTTAATAATGAATCTAAGCATTATTTTTTTTTTACAAAGATGAATCTATACATTATTAGAGTAGTGTATTTTTAAGTCTTGTAACGAATTTAATGTAAAAAAAAAAAAAAAAAGTCTTGTAACGAATTATATAAATTCCAAATAATTGGAGACTCAACTCAATAATTAGTTCAATAATAATCTTAGCTAATAAACTAAACGAATTGAATTAATGTTGGATGAAAATTAGTTTAATTAAATAATCTGTATTTAAGTAAAGTGGAGTTTGATTTTTATAGTAAGACGTGTTACTCACTAATATAGTGACTAAAAATATTTAGACACGTTAGATTAACTTAAATTTTACTTTAGAGATAACTAAATTCAGTTTCTAATCAACCTTTGTAGTCGATAAAAAAATGGAATAAAATTAGAAATAACATTTTCAATGATTAATGATCTAAAAAGATTACTATTTATCTATTTAGACGCAAAATTTCAAGTCTCTAAATAAAATATAATTAGATAAAGATTTTTGCTATTATCACACTTTAGATACCAATATTTTAGTTATAGATTTTAGTTATAGATGCAATTTAACTAGAAACTGATTTTTTCTATCACTATTAACTTGTCTTAATACTGATTTTTAGTTTCTAATTGTGTTATATTAGCGACAAATCTATCCATCTATATTAAACTATTTTAGGCACCAAAAATGGTCTCTAATTGAAATACACTAGTTATTGATATTTTAATCTCTATTATGATTAAAAACGAGTCTTTATTTAAAATATGTTTAAAGACTGATATCTTGTGTTTTTAGATCACAATAAATGGTCTAGTCTTAAAAAAAAAAAAAAGATGGCTTCAGTAGAAGGCTTAAATCAGTATTAAAGATGGCTTCATATTTGTACCACTCTACTTAATTGAATCAAGCATTATAAGAAGGCAAAGATCAATACAAGATCTTCAAGAAACAACAGTACTTAGGATCGCAATATTTCACGTTACATTAGAGATGTAACACAAAACAATAAAAGAATATATGAAGAATTTCCCTATTCAAAGACGCGGAATACCATTAATGTGATACACTATAAGACGACCAATTTAGCCAAAAAAAAAAAAAAAACTCTTCCTCACAATCTTTATTATTTTGGTGAAATCTTGAATTCCCACAATTAAACGATGATTTTAGGTCCATTATATATAAGATTCATCCCCATTTTGAGACTTAAACACATTTATATTGTAAAAATCAAACTCAAATCCTCCCTTGTAGACTTGGCATGTTTTATCATTTTACTTATTGAATTTCGAAACAACAATTTTAAACAATGAAATTGCTTCTTCTTTTTTGGGTCAAATTTTAAATTAAAGTGATATAATTATATTTTCAAAACTTTTGTTTATTGAAACGATATGTGAAAAGATTTGAGACTTTATCATATTATTTTTTAAATTTTTTGTAAAATATTATTTTAAAATGTAAGTTATAATTAAACTAATCTCTTAATTTTTATCATTAACTTAATTGTTCATGATAATTAATGAGTAAATATATACATGATTCACAATGAAAAAAAAATTATATTATCGATTACATAAAAATTACTGTATATAATAATTTTTTTAACTTTTATAAATAATAATTACCATAAAAGTCATCCTTAATTTCTAATTAGTTAATTATGTAAAAATTCTTTATCAAAGCATAATCATAAAATAAAAAGGCTAAATTTTTGTGAAACTTATTGAGAAAACTTTCAAACTATTAGATTTAAATTAATTAAAATGAATGATTATTTTAAAAATAAAAAATCATTTTTTATTAATAAAAATTAATGAGCAGTATTATATATATGTGGTATATGAATTATAATTAAATTTTCACTAATTATTAAATTTATTTACATTATTACCCACTCACATGTCAAATTCGAAATCTTCCAAAGAAATATGGGTTCATCTAAAATTGTGGCTGAATTGTGGGGAATCTTAATTGTTACTGCTGCTATGGAAATCGCATGTTCCAACCAGATGAATCATCTGTGGATGGAACGTGGTTCTAGAGTCACTGCCATTGGAACTGTTGTTAATTTTGAGTCCAGCCCTCTCACTCTCCAAAATGTGTTTTACATTCCATAATTCAGTCTTAACATCCTTTCTGTTAGTGCTTTATTACAACGTTCTCCTTATTTTGTATCCCTTTACTAATAATGCTTTCTTGATCCAGAAACCACAGGGGCAGAGGGTGATTGACAAGGGTAAACTTAGACAAGGCCTTAGCATCAACTGTTTTCAACTGTTGGGTCTTTTGTTTTTTCTGATAAATGTAATACTGTTGCCATTCTGTTGCTACCTTGTGGCACAATAGATTAGGCCACTAGTCTGATAAGATTTTTAAACTGATCAGTAATAAAATTTGTTTCTCATTGCCTCAATTTTGATTCCAATACTTGTTCTTTATGTCCTTTGTCAAAGTTTCATCACCTTCCTTATATTGCTTATGAAGTCATAACAACTATTCAAAATGTCCCTTTGATTTACTGCACTGTGATGGTAAGGAATATTTTCTTACAATTGTTGATGATTGCACTCGTTATTCTTGGATACACCTATTATGAGACAAAAATCGGAGGCCACTCACTTGATTAAGTGCTTCTTCAGATAAGTCAAGGCTCAATTTGACAAGCCTGTGAAGGAATTCGAACTGAAAATGCCAAAGAATTGGATCTCACCTCTTTTTTGTTGGAACAAGGTACACTCATCAGCTCACTCATCAGCTCACATGCCGCATAGACCTCAAGAAAACTCAGTTGTTGATAGAAAGCACCAGCACATTCTCAACATGCCCGACCCTATTGTTCCAGTTTAAGGTTCCCTTACGTTTCTGTGGTGAATGCTCTACTGCAGCCTACTTAATCAATCAAATTCCTTCTACCAATCTCAACAATTGTCCTTATGAACTGTTACTATGAGAAACAACCTGATTATGTCAACCATTGTAGTGTAGAAACATTGGCATTTCTTGAACCTTGACGTTAATAAGGCCTTCCTCATTAGAGATTTAAGTTAAGAAGAGGAATTGTACATAGATCTTCTTCCAAAAGGTTATCTTATTAAGGGGAAGAGGCTTGTTTGTAAGCTCAACAACTCTTTGTATGGCTTGAAACAAGCCTCACGACAATGGTTTCATAAATTTAGTTCAACCTAGGTTTGTTTAATCTTCAGCTGATAACTCCCTTTTCTATTTAGGCTTGGGTGTTCTGCTCTTGTCACACTGCTAGTTTATGTGGACAACATTTTATTGGCTGGACCCGACCCAATGATGCCTCACTTATCCAAGTACAATCATTACTGGAAAAGCATTTCAAAAGCATTTTATTGGATGCTTTTTAGGTTTGTAAATTTCCAAATTCAACACTTAAAAAGGAAATTGGGTGAAATGAGTGAAAATAAGAATTGAAAATAAATAAAGTTATTTGATTAAGAAAAATAAGGGAAAGAAAAATTAAAAAATAATAGACACTATCCTCTCATTTATTTATGCTTATTTTTTTATTTTTAATTAAAAAGTTAAATTTTTATTTTATTTTATTTTATTTTATTTTCACTCTATTTTCCATTTATTTTTTTCCTCACAACCAAACACACAAAAGTATTGCATGATCCGGGTTTCTCTGCTGCCAAACCTGTCCACAGTTTTATGGACCCCAACCTCCCTTTAAATATATAATTCATATGCTATACCCCTCAATTCTATGGTAAATTTGTGTTAGGAATCAAATCTATAGATTATTATTCTCTCTTTATATAATCAAATCTATATATTATTATTCTCGCTTTACATTCAACAAAAACAATAAAACAAATAACTTTTTTAATCGATTAATATGATCTTACTTGGATGGATGTGAATCCTATAAATATGAAACTAAACATATTCTAGATCTATTAGAGGGTTGGATAGAATGATTTTAGGTTCAGTTACTGACAGATGAGGGAGAGCATTAGGATTTATTAATTTTAGTACCTACTCAGAGTGCTGCTAGCTGGATCTAAATAAAGGAATGACAATGGTAGGGTTTTATAATATCTGTTTTGTTTTGCAATTTAAATTCATCTCTATTCTCGTACTCGTATTTATTAGGTATATAATTTTTGTCTTCATTCATGTTCTTATCCGATATCGGATATATCCGTATCCGTCAAAAAATATTATTTTTTTTTGTAAAAAAATACATAATATTTTTTAAATTATTTTTTCATTAGATTATAATTATAATTAGATTATTTTTCTATCTCATATTTTAATATAAAAAACTTTTTAATAATTAAACAACTATAAATGTTTCACATCATAATAAATAATTACACATAATAAAATATTAAAATTCTTTAACACAATTAAATTGGAGGTGAGTATTAAATCGGGGATGGGTACGAGGACAGGTACGGGATGAGTAAGTATATACCTGTACCCAGTTTAATATATCGAGTATTACTCGTACCCGTATTCAGTCAAATTGAATATTTTCTATCAAATTCGAAATGGGTTTAGATATAATACCCACGAGTACGGGTTCATTTGTCATCCCTAATCCGGATTTTCTAACTTAATGGCACAAAAGTTATGGTAACTTTCAATTGATTTAAGTCGTTAGATTACAAAATTATATAAGATTTTGACACGTACTCATAAACATAAAATATCTGGTTATAAATAAAATATTTCTACTAATGAGTAATGAATATTTTTAACATATATTAACTTTATGTATTTAGAAACTTTTTGGAAACCTATTGAGAAAGCTTCTCCAATACAAAACAGAAGCTTCATCTTCTTCAACCATGGCTTTATCTTTTTCTCCAAAACACCCTTAATAGCTACTGCAAAACATCTTTTGGTACTGCTGCAAAACACCCTCCAAAAGAGCTCATTTCATAAGTAGTTGGTGTAGAGCACCAAAAGACACTCGTAGCATTCCGGTAAGGGTATTTTTTAAAAAATATTTCATGTTCCAAAAGACCTTGCATAGCATCCCGGTAACTTATATTTGAAACCCTTAAGCTAAATTTGTTTTGTTTATGTCTCTTTAGTTTATGGTTATATGATAATGAAATCGAGGTGCTTGAATGTACAAATATAAAATCTAAAGTTATCATTTTTTTTACTTCTTATTCTTATTTTTATTCTCCTAATAGGAAGTATATTATGGAATCTTTCAATGTTGATTGGAAACCAAGAGTGGATATAGAATTTGATAATTTAGAGGCAGCTTGGCAATTTTGGCTTGCTTATGGTGCACATGTTGGTTTGGGAGTTAGCAAACGATATGTGAATTTAAAAAAAGATGGTATTGCTACCTCATGTAGATTTATTTGTTGTAAGGAAGGGATATGACCGATAGACAAAAGAGATGTTTTGGTTAGAAAGCATAGAGCTGGGACTGAACTAATTGTAAAGCAAGAATTTCACTTATGGTGAAAAATGAAAAATTTATCATCTATGAATTTGTAGAGGAACATTATCACCCCTTACAACTTCCAGAACAACGTATATACTTGCATCACATAGAAAGATAACTAAAGTCCAAGCTTTTGAGATTGATTTGGCTAATGACTCTGGATTAAGGAAAAAGTCAACATTTCAACTAATGAGTACACTTGCAGGCCATAAAACTAATACTAGATACACACACATAGATGTTAAAAATTATCTCAAAGCAAAAGGAGAAAGGAGTATGGTGTATGATGAAATAGGATGCCTTTTACAATATTTTCAATGGTAATTGTTGGAGAACCCATCTTTTTCCATGCATACCAAATGGATATAGATGAATAAATCACAAATGTATTTTGAGCTGATACAAATATGATATTGGATTATGAGTATTTTGTTGATGTTGTGTCATTGGATACTACATATTGTACCAATCGTGCAAATAGACCACTTGCTTTATTTTTCGATTTCAACCATTATAGAGGTACTATCATTTTTGGTGCAACATTATTGTATGATTAAACAACTAAATCATTCAAATGGTTGTTTGACACATTCTTAGAAGCACACAATCAACAAAAACATCAAACTATCTTTACTAACCAGGACCAAGCAATGGCTAAGGCACTTTTTGAAGTGATGTCTGAGACTCATAATGGTTTATGTACTTGGCACTTGCTGAAAAATGGAATTAAGCACCTTGGTAATTTGATGAAAGGAGGAAGTTATTTTTTAAGAGATGTCAAAAAATGCATGTATGACCTTAACACTAAAGAAGAGTTTTAGATGGCTTGGAATCGATTGATAACAGACTATTTAGTGTTCATGATAATAACTAGATTAAATTAGTTTATGCCATAAAAGAAAAATGGGCATCATGTTACATGAAGAAAATATTCGCACCTGGGATGCGAAGTACTCAACTTAGTGAAAGTTTGAATTCTAATTTCAAGTCTTACATGAATCCAAATGTAGATATTATCCAATTCTTCAAACACTTTGAACGAGTTGTTGTAGAAAAGAGATATAATGAGTTGACTTATGAGTATGAGTCTTTGCATAAGCTTGCAATGTTGAGATGAGTTGTCACAAATACTCATACAAATGGCAAAAGTATACACTCACATTGTATTTGACTTATTTCAAAATTAGTTTAAACTTTTCTTAGCTTCATGCATATTGGAGAGAATGAATCCCATTCTTTATGTCAATATGTCATCATTAGGGTCAAGCACGAAGGATCTTGGAGAGTATCATTTGATCGTGCTTCAAACCCTATAACTTGTAGCTGTAGAAATTTTGAAACATTTGTCATACTTTGTTCACATGCATTGAAAGTATTTGAAGCAAATGATGTTAAGGTTGTTCTAGAGAAATATATTATAAAAAGATGGACAAGAGAAGCCTGCAATGGCATTGTGCATGATGTGAGCAAAAAAGAAGTTGAAAGAGATCCAATATTATCTAGTACAAGGAGATATAAGCAACTTGTATTTAAATTTGTTAGATTGGTTGCTGACTGTTAAGTCTCAATTTTACCTCTTTTTGGATGAGACTTATTGAACAAATTCCACTCATCCTTTGAACCATTGCAATATAATTGTTCTCTTTTTGGTTCATTTTGTGTGCAGATATAACTAACCCAAATTCATCTAACAATACCTTAATCCACCTCATTTTTTGTGCAGGTATTGAGGAAGAGTGGAAAGTTGAAGACTCTTAGGATTGGAAACCTAAGAAGCTAAGGAGCAGAGAAGAGGTTCTGCGCCGGGCTCAATATAACCTGCACTGGGCGTGACAAAAACAGAGTATTTCATCTCTGCCAGTTATATTGCGCCGGGCGCAAAAGGAATTAAGCCGGGCGCAAAAGGAATTGCGCCGGGCTTGTGTTGAGACAGAGAGTGCTTGACTTCTCTGGAAGAACTTGCGCCGGGCGCGAAGAATTGTGCGCCGGGCGCGGAACCCTAATCTGATCTCCCAGGCTCGTATTTGAAGCCATTTTCGGGGATCTTTCCCCCCATTCTCACATTGGGCGCCTCCAGGAGCTGCGGAAGGGATTCCCAGGGCTTGGGATCGTCCGTGTGCGGATCTTTCCTTCGGTTCTTCACTTCCTCTTCCATCTCTATTTTGTATTTGCCCTCTTTGTTGAGTGGTTTCACCCATTTTGTGGGGTTAGATGTAGCCAACATACTCTATTGTAATCCTTACGTTTTCAATGATATATATATTTGTTGTTTCATTCATTGTTGTGTTTGTTTCTTTGCTTAATGCTTGCTTTGGATTGATCACCCTTTGCATGATTTAAGGTTCCATTGAGTATTGGGAAATACCTTTGAAATTAGTTCTGGAACATATGCCTAGTGGAGATTGTATCTAGGGATAGAGCTTGACCCATTAGTAGTCTTAAACCCTAGCCCGTAATGCGGGTGTAGGTATTGGGTACTCAAGGGATTGATATTCAATATCCGCACCTAGGCTCTTTCTCTAAGGGATTAGGTTTGAGTAAACTATTGGGTTGACTAAGCAATGAATTTAACAAGAGATTAAGGATACATTAGTGTTACGTTCGGTGAAATCTGACCCCCACAACCTCACAATACCATTATCCCATTTCTACCCTTTCCCATTCTAAAACTAATCTTTTTATAGTTTTAACATTCCAATAGTCATGCTCTTCATCTCACATTTACATGACAAACTATAAATTGGAATTATTCTTTAGTCACAAATAGTCAATAAATGCTTATTTTACCTTCTAATCCCTGTGGATACGATATTTTTACTACTTGAACGGCCGGTATACTTGCCGTGTTTGAGACCGTTGATAGAATTAAACTGATTTACAATTATAACAAAAGTACTTCAACGGAAATCTCAACACTGACATGTCAACATCTAAAGAATATCATAAGATTGTGGATAATAATGTAGATGTCATGAGTAAGGAGATTCAGGAGTTGCATTTACAAGCCAAAAGTATTGGTAATCACAACAATGATAATCTCATATTTGTGAGTGATGATGGTAAGCAACCAAAGGGATTCAAACATAAACCTGGCTTAAAGAAAAATAAGCGATTAAAAGGTTGGGTTGAGCTTCAATCCAATAGGAAAAAAAAACTCCAAGTAAAAAATCTCAGGTGTGTAAATTGATGTACATATTGATTCTTAATATATTCTAGCTTTATGAATTATCACTTGTTTTAATTTTTCATATTGATTTTAGGATAAAGAATTGAGAAGTCATCAACCCAACATGGTATCTTGTTCAGCACCACCAACTTTTAAGCTCCCTTACACATTAGAAAATCAATTTCGTTTTACTGAATTTTTGATGGTAATATCATTTGTCTTTATATTTTTTTATCTTTCAATTCTTTTGCTTACTTATAAAAATGTTAATTAATTTTTGTTATTATGCAGTCACCTCTTGATGTAAAAAATAGTCAATCATTACATGACATGTCTCCAATCCTTGATTAAGATTCAATGAAAAGAAGTTAGTTGATAGTGATATTATGATTAATTATTACTGTATGTTTGGTGTATTTTGATATCATTGATAAGAGTATTATAATTAATTAGTGTTGTATTTTTATGGATATATTTTGATACCATTGAAGTCAATGTAATTATATAGTTTACTTTTAAGAACTGCTTGAACAATTAACATTGTTGTTGGCCTTATTGTTATTACAATGTTAGTAGTAATGTTTTTGCTTAATGCATTTATAGTTTAATTTTGCAAAACACTTGCTGCATAATATTAATTAGTATCAATGTTTTTTGCATAATAATTTTTCTGCATAATTCCTTTGTTTATGAGTCTGCATAAACATTGTTGGATGTTTAATTAATTTGTTTGCATATATAATTGTTTGGAGAAACTAGGAATGACAAATTTTTTTTGTTTAACTAAGTATGTATTTAATCAAATACCACTATGTAATCCAGTCAATTGTTGTAATTTTATAAATAGTTTTTAGTTGAATTAGGTATGCATAATTTATTTTTTCTACTTATATGATTATTCAATTTTTGGTTTTTTATTTTCATTTTATTTATATTTTAGATTTTTTATTTTGATAAAAAAATTATTTCATTATAATATATACATACAGTTTTATTTTATTTATTTATTTATACTATATTAAAATGAGTTAATTTATTAGGCACTATAAAAATGAAAACAAATAAATGAAAAATTTTAATGTATAAATTTTTATAATTCATTTTAACATATAATTTTTAAAAAAGGCACTGAACGTTTAATTTGTTATGTTTACTTTGGTCATGTTTGAAATTTGAAATTTTTCAGTTTTGTTTTGTGGTGATAATAAATGTAATAATTCATGTTACTGAATTTCAAGCCAAAAAACCAAAAAATCCGATAAATCAAGAGACAAAAATTAAATTAAAAAAGTAAAAGAAGAAAAGATAATTAAGGTCTTCATTACTCATTACTCAGTTGAAATATTTTATTTACGACCAGATACTTATTATTTTTGAATACGTGTTAAAATTTTATATAATTTTATAATCTAATGACTTAAAACAGTTGAAAGTTACATAACTCTGACGAAGCATGTGGCCTGGTTCTGATGCTGCTTCCGTGAGTTGTGACGCATGAATCACATGCGTGATGAAATGTGCTGAGCCGGGTGGGACATGGCCCATGGGTGCTTCAATTAGATATATCAAATCACTTCATGGTAGAAATGAATTCACTTGCCATGTGATTTATGGTCAATCTGTTTAGTGTATTACAATTCACAAACATAATATATAATTATATTAAATTATAGTTGCCAAGAATACAGCCAAAGATATAATGATATGGTGCACTTGGTAAATTTTTGGAACATTATCTGGAATATGATTATTATAAAAAGGTGAGAGCCTTGGCAGTGGTAATCGGTTCTGGCAGCCATGGATTCACCTTCTCTGCACATAGCAATGTTTCCATGGTTCGCAATTGGGCACCTAACTCCATATCTGCACCTCTCAAACAAATTAGCAAAGAGGGGACACAGAGTCTCCTTCTTCATCCCCAAAAGAACACAAGCCAAGTTAGAGCAATTCAACCTTTATCCACATCTCATAACCTTTTACCCTATCAACGTACCTCATGTTGATGGCCTTCCCCATGGCGCAGAAACCACTTCCGATGTCTCTTTCCCCTTAGTTCCACTCATTATGACAGCCATGGACCGCACAGAGAACGACATAGAACTTCTCCTCCTTCATCTAAAGCCACAAATCGTTTTCTTTGACTTCACATATTGGCTTCCAAACATGACTCGTCGCTTGGGTATCAAGTCTTTTCAATACTCGATCATTGGCCCAGCAACGGTATCTTACGTTAGATCCCCAGCAAGGATGCGCCAGAACATGACTGAAACTGATCTCATGCAACCCCCTGAAGGATACCCTGTATCTTCCATTAAGCTTCATGCCCATGAAGCCAAGTTCCTTGCTTCTAAAAGAGACTTGGAGTTTGGTAGCGGTGTTCTCTTCTATCACCGCCTCAACACTGGTTTAATGCAATCAGATGCAATTGGGTTCAAAGGTTGTAGAGAAATTGAGGGGCCTTATGTTGATTACCTTGAAGAGCAGTTTGGGAAGCCTGTATTGCTTTCAGGACCTGTCTTACCTGAGCCCCCCAACACTGTTTTAGATGAAAAATGGGGTTCATGGCTTGCAAAGTTCAAGGAAGGTTCGGTTATCTACTGTGCACTTGGGAGTGAATGGAAACTACCACATGATCAGTTCCAAGAATTGTTGTTGGGTCTTGAACTTACAAACCTGCCCTTTCTGGCTGTTCTTAAAACTCCAGTAGGGTTTGAAACAATTGAAGCTGCTCTCCCTGAAGGGTTCAAAGAGAGAGATGAAGGGAGAGGAATTGTCCATAGTGGATGGATACAACAGCAACTGATTTTGGAACACCCTTCAGTGGGATGCTTCATAACACATTGTGGTGCTGGTTCATTAACTGAGGCACTGGTGAATAAGTGTCAGATAGTGTTACTGCCTCAGCTAGATGCTGATCATATCATTAATGCTAGGACGATGGCTACAAATAAGGTTGGGGTTGAAGTGGAGAAGGGTGAAGAGGATGGGTTTTTCACAAAAGAGAGTGCATGCAAAGCTGTGAAAATTGTGATGAATGAGGAGAATGAGGTTGGCAGAGAAGTCAGAACAAATCATGATAAAGTGAGGAACTTCTTACTGAGCCACAATTTGGAGTCGGCCTATGTTGATAGTTTCTGTCAGAAGCTTCGAGATTTACTCAGGTGATTTTCAAGTTTTCATAAACTATCCCAATGTAACCCATCACCGGAAGTAAATTTATTCCCTTAATTTCAAGCTATTCAAGTTATTCGAGCAAGATAGTGTAACCATTCTAGTAAATTCGCTAATTGGATTTAAGTTAACAACAAAATATACATTGATTGAAGTAGACAGTGGTTTGATATAAGTTGTAACCTTTTGTGTTTGCAATTATGATTTTAAGAAAAGACTCATTATAAATATAGACCTTATAAAAGAAAAGGGAAAAACTAAAGAAATATGAAATGAATGAATTACAGAATATGATTTATATATCAGAGTTTAACTTATCAAGCTCACTAAAGAAACCTGCATACCATACTCTGTTATAACGTGGCATGGTTTGATTATGCTGATCATTTTGGTTTAATTTTAACTCTTTGAAGAATGCTGTCAAATTCTTTTAGGCCATTAAGTGCATTACATGCTGTTTGTAAAGACTGATGCTACTCTGCTTGTAACCACAGTTCTGTTTTTTGGGATAGTGCTGATCCCCAAAAGCACAGAATTTAGTGCAATATGATGGTTAGGACTGACAAATTAAATGGATCCTCTCCAAAGAATAATGTGGATTGGTTGCATCTACTTCACATTGGAAATTGCAAGGAGGATCAAACTTTTTTTTTTTTTTTAAGCTCCGGATGAATATATAATATACACCGTGGCATTCTTATGTTAAGAACTTAAGATTAGCCTTTCTTTTAGTAATAAATTTCATTAGCTTATAAAAATAAAAAGCTCACTTAATGAACTGAAACAAACCTAAGTTGTGGGCAGAGATTACAAGCTCGTGATGGTTTAAAACACGATTTCGATAAGTGTATTGGTTGCCAAGGCTTGCTTGTAGTGAAATTCATCTGGTTGGATCTTTTGAGGCACAAGCTGGAACACATACTGAGTTGAGATGTTATCCAAGATTCAACTGCGATATTTAACAAGGTTATATTCAAAAGACTTCATTTGGAAAGATATTTACAAGTTTGGGAAATAAAATGTTGTTCGAAGGTAAATTTTGCACTATATCATAAATTAAATTCACAAAAGTCACGAGCTGCATAATAAATATTTGATTATTATAATATAGTAATTTGTATATAGAAATCAACGTGTACAACAAACCAAAGTAGTTTATATAAAAGGGAGTGTCTAAGAATGAATAAACTATGAAGCTTGGGTCCAAGTCCAATATTAGATTGGTTAATCATTAATTAATTAACCAATAGGTCTCATTATCTTGTCTGGTTTTTTCAACACGAGATTTTTTTTTTTTTTTCAGAATCTGATTCATGAGACACGAATCCGGCAGTGGCAAATTAAATATTTCGCCTTGCAGTTCACGCCCTCCAATAAATATTAGAGTGGTTAGAAAAATTGTGGTGCCGTCCCTTTCTATTCCTAATGCGGCTTTTTAAGCCTAAATAATTAAAATAAAAAAACTATTTTGTAAAATATTTTTTTTTTAAAATTACTGAAATAAATTATTTCGGACAGGTAAAATTAAGAAAATGTGGTTGGGAGTGACGAGTTCGAGAAAACGTCACCACCAATGACGCCTTTCGTTTCGTTGATTTTGCATACATGCAGATTTTCAGAAGCAGAAAACGTTAATGGTGTGTTTGGATGAGGAATTTATATAGGGTAATTCATTTATTTGAAGAATTTCAAATTCTTTGAGGTGAAATGCTTTGTTTGGATGAGGAATTTACAAAGAATTTGAAATCCAAGCATTTGTGAAATTCCTTAAAATAGTAGAATTTCAAATTCTCCCAAAAATGAGAGAATTTGAAATTCCTCATATTTTTTTTCTTATTTCACCTATATATTTTATCTTATCTCTTCATTCTTTTAATTATTGGATATTCAAAAATATTTTTAAAATTATTAAATATTATCTTATATTAATTTTTAAAATTATTAAATATTATCTAATATTAATTTTTAAAATTATTAAATATTTAAAAAAGGATTAATATTTATTTTTATAAAATTTAATTTAAAAATCTCAACATATAAATATATTTTTAAAATCAATTTTACTATGATAGAATCAAATTATCATATTCAACCTAACAATTTAAAATTTAAGAAATTTGAATTGACTCATCCAAACAAAATATTTAAAGAATGATAGAAATTGAAATCAAAGTAATTCAAATACCAAGAATTTAAAATTTCTTGAATTTTTAAAATTCCTCATCCAAACACACTATAAGGGTGCTGAAGCCTCCCAAAAGCATACAACATGAGGGGGTGTTGACGCCTCCTTCAGAGGTCCAATCTGTGCGGCGCAAACAGAGTGGAGCAGAGAAAGAAGAAGAAAACATCAGCTTGGTTGACGCCTTCTGTGCAACATGAAAAAGAAGAGAAGAGAAAGAAAAGGAAAAAGGAGGACAAGAGGTAAGTTTAAATATTATTAGTATATGTGAAAATAATTTTTTTTAATTATAATGAAGTATTAAAATTAATTGTTGTTTCTATGGTTTTAATTGTATAATTTGGATGTAGTAGTATAAGATTATTTTGGTTAAGGTTTAAATTTTGTTATGTTTAAATGTAATTTTTTTAATAATAATAATATTATGTTATTTGCATTTGTATTTTTAGGTTATATATTTGTTTATGTGAAATATTTGTTGATATTAGTAATGATTTAAATTTCTAGGAGTTTAGATTTTTTTTTAGTATTTAGAAATAGAAGAGTGAATAACTGTGATTTATGGTTTTAATTTTGATTTTAATGTTGAGGAATAGAAGAGTGGTTAGTTATAGTTTTTTTGGAATTAATTTTGTTTTGTGTTATAAAATAAAATTTATATGAGATTAATTATTTTGTTAATTAAAATGAAGTTTAAAAATGTAAGTTCTTTTTTAAAATGTTTTAAAGGAATTATTTTTTTTATTTTCATGTATATTTTGTTTTTTATAACTTATAAATTTTTATATGTGGAATATTGATTGATGATTAAAATTTAGTACATGTGAAAACAAATTCTTTGTTAATTAAAATGAAGTATTAAAATTTCTGTTTCTATGGTTTTAATTAAATAATTTTGATGTAGTAGAATATTATTTTTTTGGGGTTAGGGTTTAAATTTTTTTATGTTTAATTGTAATTTTTTAATAATAATTATTATTATTTTTTTGCATTTATATTTATAGGTTATAAATTTGTTTATGTGAAATATTTGTTTATATTGTTGATGATTTAAATTTGTAGGAGTTTAGATTGTTTTTTTAAGTATATTTAGAAATAGAAGAGTGAATAATTGTGGTTTAAGATTTTAATTTTGATTTTGATGTTGAGGGATATAAGAGTGGTTAATTATAATTTTCTTTTTGGAAATAATTTTGTTTTGTGTTATAAAATTTAATTTATATGAAATTAATTTTTTATAGTTTTAGTTATATAATTTTGATGTAGTAGTATAAGATTATTTTGTTTAGAGTTTAATTGATTATTTCAATTTTACGCACACATTTCTTAATTTTGTATAATCTCAGAAGAAAATAATGTTATGCCAATGTGAATCAGCTTTTCTTTGAGTTTAACATTTTTAAATCGGTGGTTGAAATTGCTTGAAATGTTCGAATATAATAGAAATGATAGTTATAAGGTAGTTGACAACCATTATTTTGATTTGCCACAACTGATTTGATGCATTAGTGTTGATCTGATATTAAATAAATGTCTCTCTTTGTAGTTACATATCGATAAATATTTGACAAGAACCATGACCAATCACTTAATGTTTCACCTTCAACTACAACAAAAGCAATTGGTAAAACGTGAGTATTTTCATCTTGTGTTGTCTCATCTTGTGTTGTATCGATTAGCAAAGTATCACGATATTTCCCATATAAAAATGTTTCATCAATTTGTATGATATGTTTTATGTAGTTGAATGCATCACAAGTAGGTTTGAATATCCAAAACACACGACAAAACTTGCAAAAATGTGCGCCAATGATATTATTATATACATAATTTGTTGTCTTAAGTCTATAAGCAGATCCAAGACGACAACATTCTAGCATCTTATCCAACCACTTTGGCAAAAAGTCATATGAATCTTCTCAATCACCAAAAATTCTTAAAATGACTTTTTATTTTGCTTTCCACGCCTTTTTGTATGAAATATTAAAATTAAGTTGTCTACTTATTCTTTCTTGAATTAACAAAATTGACACGGAAACATCTCCCTCACCATTCCTGAAATGAAATGAATTCAAAATTGTCCACTTATTAAGCATACTATTAATAGTTATTAGGAAAATAACCTTTATTTTAAAATATTTGAAAGAGTATGTATGAATAAATTAAAGTTACATAATATGCAAGAGCAAATGAATTCTAAGTCCAATTTATTATGATCTGGAAACAACATTGCATTAATGCTTGTGTGTCGACCACCCCATTTCTTTATGACCCACTTGTTATTGAACTTAGTGGACATAATAGCCCTTAGTTTCCAAGGGCAACCTTCATTACTATTAGGGTATCGTATAGAAAAAACATTCAATCCAGACTCAACAACTACAAATGTCTAATGAGCATTCACATAGTAGTGTTTAACAGCCATTTGGACATCAACTTTCGTATGAAAATGTAGCCCAACATTTAACTCATCCCCAGGGCGCCAAAAAGTAGGAACATCTAACCCACCATATTATACCTCTTGATTTGGATGAGACCAATTGATGTAACTATAATGTGGAGTATTGTTCCAAAGTGGAGGTTGTGATGGACCTATATGGTGACAAGAGACACAATATCAATAATAAATATTAGAAAATTAAAATAGTGGTAAAGATTTTGTAATTACCTATTTTGTTCATTATGGGAGGCTCAACTTCAAATAGTGATTGCACGTTTATCATACAGTTACTGTTGCTATCAATGTTACCTTAGTCTAATGAGCTATCATTTGCAATTTCATCATCTTGTTCAACATTGATATCATCATCGTCACTTAAGTTTGTTACAAAATAAACGTTTGAATCAGGATGATTTGTTGGTGGCGAAATTATTTGCTCAAATTGATGGTGACTGCTCATTACATTTAAATATGTTAAAACTGGAGGTTGATGGACTTCTTCTGTTGTAGTTAGATCTTGTAAAGAAAAAGAAGA